TTCTAACTTAGAACCAAATTCAATTAAAACAATACTTTACAACTTCTGTGGAAACCAGGCTACAAGTAATCAATTTTGGAGAGTTTCTGTTAGGAGTAGCCCTCATGAGATTTATTCCAAAACTGGGCTCTAGACAGCCTTAGAAAGGGAGCTAGGAGTTAGTTATAATGAATTCTTAAGTGAATTTTATCTTGCTGAGGGATTTTGATTGACAATAGCAGAAAACTATGTTGTGTGTGTGTATGTGTGTTTTTTTTTTTTAAGGAATAGGAATACCTATCAATGGACACTGTTTCGTGTGATGACCAAATGAATACAAACTCTAGATCAGCCAACCTGGGCTCAAATCCCAGCTCTGCCATTTACTGACACGATCACCTATGCAATGGGGATAATAAAAGGGCCTTCCTCATGTTGGCATTATGCAAATTGAATGAGTACATGGAATGCCTCTGCCTAGTGCTCAGCAGAATAAGCTCACACTGACTATAAACTACTGTTCCCCTGAGGTTGTTTACCTCAAAGGGCCACTTGTGTGATTGGAAAAGATTTCTAGGACATTTTCCCTTTTATGACTACTGAGGCCTGTAAGGGTGGGCAGAGATTCTGTTGTGTTTGTTTTGATGTGAGCTTAACCATTGGCGTTCAAACTGACCCCCTCAGAGCTTTACAAATAAACTCTTTCATGATTTCAGTGTTTCATTATTTTGTTTCTCTGACCTTACTCAAACCTAGATTCAACAAAAGCATGCCTAAAGTACAGCTACCCTGTGAGCAGATGCCAGAAAGCCATCATTTCTTCAAGTTAAGAATTCCCATAACCTAAGCAGGACATGACAGCACATGCCTGTAGTCCCAGCTATTTGGGCGGCTAAGGCAGGAGGGTTTTAGCCCTGGAGTTCAAGCCCAGCCTGGGAGATATAGCAAGACCTCATCTCTTAAAAAAAAAAAAGAAAAGAAATGAAAAAAGAATTCCCATAACCTAATATCAAGCACGTAAGTCTCAGCTTGCACCAAAAAAAAAAAAAACAAAACTCATTGCGTGCATCCATCAACATGGCATGTTGCAGAGCATAATATTTCAAGAAAAATGAGGCAAAATACACTTAATAAAATTATAAGTATATGGTGAGGTTATCAGACAAGTTATAATATTTATGGTCTTGATTAACCTTACAATATTATTGCCATTTTCATAGGTTTTTACATACAAATGTAAAAATATCGTCTTTACCTTTTAACATGGCAGGACTATCTTATCTCCTGTTCTTTTATTTAGCCTTCGCTTCTCTCCCTCACCCCAAAATTTCTAGCAGTTCGATCATGGAAAAGCAAAGCTTCTTGTGCTCAGTGGTAGTTCCTTTTAAATGAGTGCTGTTTTCCTGGCACTAGTGCATAGCAACAGCGCCACCAAAAGGATGAGGTCCTGAGTTTCTCGGATCTGTTCCATTTCTTTACTCAATAGCATCAGCATTTTGCATGATATTCTTGGCTACTGTGTCTACAAAATATAATATATTGATATTTCAGGCTCTTTATAGTTAATAGGTTTTAATTTGCTCTGGTGTAAAGATTCATTAACTTCTCAGTTCTCTTTGGGTGTAATGAGTTTTCTTTTAATCCCCCTGAACTAAAAAGGTAAGTAGTTGATTGCGCTAAGCTGCAAATAAATCAGATGAACAGATGTTCTTCTGCAACTATAGAAATGATACACAAAAACTGATATTAGAGTCAGTGTAGTATCTGTGCTGTCAGGAAAAAATATGGAAATGTGCAAATTGTTCTGCATTTAGTGACTATGAAAGTCACCCCATGAAATAAACTTTATTTATTCTCAGAATACTGTTTATTATATTCTACATTTGTTCCAAATTTAGCAGTGTTGTAAAACTTATTTTATTTAATTTTAAATATATAGTGACATGTCATGAGAATGAAATCAAATGAATTTAATGTATGGTAAGGAGGTAGTCATGTATATTTTATTTTCATATATATTTTAAATAAATGTATTTCAGGATCACTTTTTTTTCCCTGCCACAAACTGAACTGATTTTTCCATATTTGTTATTCAAAAACTTATGTATTTACCACTCTAGGTGTCCTCCTGAGCTGGATTAAACACTACAGAGTAATGGTTAAGAGGGTAAGCTGTGAAATCAGACTGCCTGGGTTCAACTGCTGGCTCCACTATTTCCTGGGTTAACACCCAGTGTCTAGAATTTCCTGTTCTGTTATATGGAGTTGTTCATCTTGTATATTTCATACAATTTCTGTGAGGATTAAATGAGATCATATCTATCAAGAATTAGCACAGAGTAAGTGCCCAATAAATACCAGTCACCACTATTATGATGATGGCCATAGTTACTCATAGATATTGGTTGCCATCTCTTTGCATCTATTTATGGTATTCTCTAGATGTGGCTGAATTCCAAAATCAAAAACCAAATTTTAATTTCTGTCACTGGTGCTTTCACAGGATGTTACCTACCTAAAAATAGGTTCACTGCTACATATGTATAGAAATGTATAGTGGGGGAGGAAAAATATCTTTTCCTCACCCCTCCTAGGTTCATGGCTGAGGCCTTTGTAACAAAAAACATGAACAAGAGAAGAGCATACAAATTTACTTAAGTTTATGTGGCACGGGAGTCTTCATAAGGAAAATAAGAACCAAAGAAGCAGTTAAACTTGTATATTTTTATGCTAAGTTTGATAGAGTGGAAAATCATGGAGAAATATGATTGGACAAAGGAGATATGATCTAATGGTAATAAACTGGGGGAAACTTAGCAAAGCCTTTTGTTCTTCTCTGTGGCTCTGTGTCTTCAGAAATAGATGTCCCTTTCTTCTGGGTATAGCAAGAGTGTCTCTCAAATGAGGGTCTTATGACTTGCTTTCAGGAAAGGTCAGAAAATCCTTCCTAGATTTTTTGACCAGCTTCAGGGGAGAAGGACAGTGGGAGGTAAGAGTGACCCTCCTGATTCTGCTGTTTTCTCAAATGCCAAGGCACAGGATTTTGGGGATAGTATGTCCTGAGCTCCATCAATGTCAATTTGTGGGTGGGTACATCTGGCTTCAGACAGCCAGTTGTTCTTCTTTCTATCTATTCTTCTATCTATTCAAACTTCTTATTACTTTGAAAAGTTTCCATTGGTTTGTGTGTGTGTGTGTTTTCTTTGTGTGTGTGTGTTTTCTAATACTTAAAAATCTGTATGAATGTGAATCTTTTATTGTGTTCTTTTTTACTCTGTGTCCTTGAAACTGTTTTATATGAACATGAGAAAACATGGAAAGGGACCAGTCTGTATAGTCTAAAGTGAGAGCTGAATCACAAACGAGATAGGATTCTATAACCCTTTCTATTTTCCAAGGAATGGAATAAGTCATTTGGAATAGGGGATTGGGGATGGGTATAAATAGAATTAATAGTATAAAACTAAGAAATGGAAATGTGGCTGAATAACAGGACTGTGATGCTTAGAGTTATGGAAATGCCTCTGAAAATAAATAGGCAGAGGTCCATTCACTGGAGGCCTGAGTACAGCTGAAATACTGGACGAATACCAATGAATTTATTATCGGGAGTATTTCTATACCAGTGTGAGTTGGTCCAGAGAACCTGTTAGGCCCTTTGCTTGCTAATTTCTTTTTTGCTGTGAAATAATAAAGCCTAAATCGTGGAACCAAATTTCACTTGCAAATTGCTGAAAGTTTTATTTCTCTAGTGAGATCAAATATGTCTTATGACATGTTTTTCCTTCCACTGTTCTCCCAGCTGTTGTTTCTTATTACTGAAATGGTGATGCATTGATATTGGTTCAATTACCAAAGTATCTGTGTACATTTAAATTCATGGTGCATCACAGGTAGTCAGGCTAAGTGACTGTGATTATCAGATGGGGTGTTTGATTTAAATTAATGGAACACTTCCGAGAGATTATTTATAGAGGAAGACAGTTTACTCTGAAAAATTCCCATCACCTATGTCATTAATATTTTAGGACCCATGAAAATAAGGAATATATGGAAAATAAGGAATATGGGCTCTCTTTATATAGGCACCACTGCCACACTGTTTTCCTGGGTTGGGGTCAGCACTGTGAAGCCACATTATTATGGGTGAGAAAGACTCAACACCAACTCTGTTGGGTAAAGAACTAGCTAAATAAAGCCCTTTGAATGCAATTTAAAAATGTATATCAAATTCCAACTTGTAATAAAATGAGAATGTTCAAAATGATTTTCATATTAGAATTACATTATTGTTAACCACATAAATACTTAGCACTGATGTTCAAAAAGACTATGGAATTTTCTCCCTTTACAGAACAAAAGAAAAAGATCAAGTTCCATTAGAGGCAGGTGTTTAAGACTGCATAGGATGTAGTTGTTTAGCTATGTTTTGAAATAGACAGTAACTTAAAGGTTTCTTGTGGAGGAAAAATTTGAGATTTCACATCTTCGTTAGGTATCTGTATCATTCTTTTAGCTCATTGATTGATGCTTAAGGCTGTATTATACACTTGGGGAAAATGAACACTTTGACCTAAGATTTACATGTATAATTTTCACTAGTGGTAATAGAAATTATCCTTGCAAACTTACTAACATTGAGACATAAATATATTTTCTGTGTCTCTGTGTTATAGCTTATGCTTGCAATGCAGCATTAGTTCCACAAGAGGCCTTGTTATCAACCAATGTTAGCAGCATAAAAATTCCACAAGGTGGAGGATCTCAACACACAAACTTTAATTACATCACAGATGCTACTGAGTCCAGTGATTGGCCGTTAAGATAACCTTTTTCCCATTTATGCCACTCTGCTACTTGCTGGATCTCCCAAAGGGCGTTTGACTGTTCTATGAAATAAACCCCTCCCCTTCTTATGGATTGTGTCTCAGGAAAAAATTACAGTAATGAGAGTGGATGTGAAAGTATATGTAAAGAGCATTGTGCTAATTAGTAACTCACAAATGATTTGTCTTTTACAGCCTGTCAATCAGGGTCGTCACTATCAGAAAGAAATGAATCCGCCTTCTCCTTCTAACCCCCGGTAAGAATCATTAATAATCTAAATGGCATTTTTTTAAGATTATTTAAAAGATTGTGCATTTTTCTTGTTTTCATGAAATTGTTTTCCAAAACTTCCAAAAAGCTTCTGAAGTTATTTTCTTTCAAAGTCTTAGTTCATCCACTTTTCTTATTCAGTCTGTGGAGTAGGGATGACAGTCTACCTAGGTTTCAATATCTGCCTTTCACTAACTGTGGGACTTTGAGCAAGTCATTTAATGCCAAGTAATTCAGGCATAATTACCTCATAGTATTTTGGGGAAGTTTGAATGAGCTAAAAAAATCCTCAGCATAGTTCCTGTCACATAGCAACACTCTTTAAGTGTTGATTTATTCCTTATTCTTTTATTTGCATAAATATTTCATTTTAATAGGTATTTAATATTTAGTACAATTTAGGCATAAATCTTTTTTATATAATCTCATGCCTTTAAATTTATTGAGATAGCTTTTATAAGTTCAAATAGCCATTCTCTTTTTTCATAATTTCAAAAGTTCATAATCTCAAAATTACTTCATTATTTTTAAAATGTCATAGGCATATGTCATTTGTCAATATAGAAAACTCTCATTATTTTAGGCTCATTAGGAATAAGCAAATATGAATTTGAGCTTTGAAATATATGTACTATTATATGGCTTTCTGATAAATATGTATATAAGCTAGTTTATCCATAGAAAGCACTACTACCTTATCACTATTTATTGTATGCTAGGAATTTATTGAAAAGTCAGTCTGTCTTGAGCTCCACTCACAGAGTCTTACTTACTATAATACATCTCATTTTCCAAATGCATCTCCTTATCAAGCTATCTAACCTGTGCCGTGGGTTGTCCCATGGAATGGACCAAAACCAAAGATAGCTGTGGCTCAAGGGTGTGTTATCTATTACATACTGTCTGAATTAAGACTCTGGTTACACGTAACAAAAACAGCTTGGCTAGTATTAAAAGAGAGACAGAAAGATAGAGAGGGAGAGAGAGAAAGAAAGTCAGGAGGGATTTGTTAAATAAAAATATGGGGCTGTATCATAAAACCCAAGGGTCGCCAGGTGTCAGGAGGGGCCTGAAACTAGGAACTAAAGAGCCAGGAGGCAGCGAGCAGTCTCCCCACTCCCTCTCTGCCTGCTTCCTCCTGTCTGCTCTACTCTTCTCTCTAAGCACCAGCTATCTGTGCTTCCCAGTCCACATATGGCTGTTTGACAGCTCTTGAGTTTACATATTACTGTTCAAAGTATATGCCGAGGCTGACAGACTACATCTGAATCCCAATTTCTACTTTCCAAGGGAGAGAATGTGGTCAGCCTAGCTTGGGCCGAGTATCCACTTCCGGTCCATTCAGCAATGAACAGTGAGCCAAGCCATGTAAAACTAACTGGCTCCCAGGAGCCCACCTAAGTGGTTTACAGCACTCTTATTGGGACACATGACATTTACTCATGACGTAGGTAGAGTGAATGTTCTTCATTAGTAATCTCTTCTAAGTGTCCCTGGTCTATACAACTGACCTGGTCAATCTTTCATTTTAGCTAGTAGCTTAAAATTGAAATTGGAATTTTTATTTACACACACACACATACACACACACACACACACACACACATACACATATGTACATGAAGGTGTTTTAACATTCTCAAAATCAGTTATCTCTTGATAGGTGAACATGTCACTTATAAACTAGAACCTCAACTAAATTTGCCTAAGAAATTCTTTTTCTCTGTACATGAGTAAGCTTTCAGGGTAACTAGAAATCCAACTGTGGTCCAAATTATAACGAATTCAGAATTTGTAGTTTGAGCAAATGAGAGTGGTAGTAAGATGTTAGAAAGTAGAGCCTTTTGTTTTAGTAAGTGGAGAAAGAGGACCTAATTTTCATCCTAATTCTGCCACTAATCTAAGATATGATCTCAGATAAGCCTCTTGTCCTCTCCAGATGTTATTTAATAATATGAATACCCTAATATGTAAAAGAAAGGATTCGAGTTTCATGCTTTCTGAGGTCAATTCCAGCTTTACAATTCTGTGACTTTTATGAGACTTACAGACTTTACTTTGAAAAACCAGTCCTACCATCAAAGGGTTACACTACTTACTTTTACTTCACTGTCCTTATAGAAAACATACTTCATAAATATTGGTTGGCTGAATGAATGAATATTTAGATGTGGTAGTATGCAACTTTAAATATCTCTTTTACAAATTGAATTCCCAAAAGTAGACTGTCAAAAAGATAGAATATAAGATAATTCACTAAACAGACAGCATATCTTATGCAACAAATTAAATGTTAATTTACCTAGGAAAAATTAATTATTCAAATTTCTACATAGTGAAAAAACATGCCACATTCTAAAGCAAAAAATAAAATACCATCAACTCCATTTGCCGGCAGATTATCCACTGGTTTCCTAAAAAATTAATATATAACTGTTCAGAAAACTTACAGATTATATGACTTGGCTCTTGGCTCATAAATTCAGCAGCTTGGAGAATTGGCAGGAAGGCATTTTTGGGCCATAAATACAGAAAATAATAAAATTATGAGGTCAGCGTATATCATCATATAAAAATGGGATAAATTGAATCATGTAATATAAGTAACATAACTTAAAATTGAAAGCTCTGATTCTTAAGATTCGTATTTATTACATTTCTTACAAACAGTATCCCATGCTTTAGACCCTAAAATATAGAACTTTAAAGTTAAACTTTAAAATTAAAGGATACTGATAATTAATATGAAAAAATACAAGAAATGAGAAGGTAAGTCTCTAAAGTCTACCCTCTTGGATAAACAAGCATCTAACCTGAATCCTAGATTGAAAGTTCCGCACATGGAGGCTCTGAACAATACATGAAAAGCAAGTAGGCTCTTGATTTCCTGAATGAAGTGTGGCTGTGGTCAGAGTGATGCCCGCAGGACAGAAATGGGGCAGTGTGCACATGCACTTCCACAAGGAGGGCAAGATGGTAGCCTCTGGGAAGTGAAATGGCCACATGAGCATCAGTGAAATATCTGCAAGTACTCCAGAGACCTAAGAACCTGAAGTTTTTAAATTACATACACTCATACCCACATATATACATATTTAGAGAATCACCTTTCATTAGCTTCATTAATGTAGTGGAACAACCAATATCCCCAAAGTCTTTCATTCACATTTTATTCTAGAAAGAGTTTTATTTCTGCAACATAATTATCTTCTTAGTTTTATGTGTGTAGGATTAAAATTAAAGATAGTATGCAAACCACAAAGCAGGCAAATGTGGGTTTTGAAGAGTTTGCTCTAGGATGAAAATATCTAAAACACTGCATATATTCATATATTGTTTTCCTCACAGTAAAATCATTCACTTAGCCTCATAGGGCAGTGCTTGACATTGCATCAAGGTGGGATGCAACGGTAATCATTTCCCTGAGAAGTTTACAATCTAGGAATTGAAATATATCTGGTTCACCTCATCATATTCCCTTGCGTGTCTAGATTTGCAACAAAGCCATTTCTGCTTGCATTGTTGGCATGGGGTGATATTTTCCATTATTTTTCCTAACACACCGACTGATATTTAACAGCCTCTCAGATGCTGGGGCCCTTGCCTCCAGCGTCCACCAACAGTGCCTCTTAGGGGACCGACAGCCTCTACGACAAGGTGCAGAAATGGCTAACATAATCTCACACGATTTAGAGGAGTATGGGGTAGGAAGAAACAATTTCACAGTTCATTCATGTTGAGAAATATTTCCTAGCATGTAAACTTGCAGGCTGCCAAACAGAGCAAAATGGATGCCGTCTGCCGCCCCAAGCCGTTTATTTTAAAATGCCATCTATTGGTTGCAGGGTTTAGAGCTGTCCCTTAGGCACATCTATTTATATGTTTATGGAGATTCTTCAGAACAGCAAAAGATCTTTCTTCTCAGGAATGGGTTTTATGAAATAAACTGTGATTATGTTCTGGTTGTCTGTTCATATGGATGGAGTTGATAACCAGCCTTTCGTTTCAAATGATGATTATACTTTCTATTTTTATAACTCTTTGGAAAATTAGAGGGAGGAGGGAATGTAGTCAAAGGCTTTTCAGGTTCTAAATGCTCATGGAAATGGAACGATAGAGAAAATCATTCTAGAATGCCCAAGCAGTAATGAATGGCATGATTTTCTAAAGTGTTTGCTTTATGATTTATAACTTATCTGTAGTTTTTTTAAAATGTCATTGCAGATTGTGTTAGGGCCTGAATCCTTTGCAGCTTTGCCACATGTTTGTGTGATATAAACACACTTATAACTATAATTATCTGATAAAGCCCTGCAGTCTTTGACAAATGATTAATAACCACTGACCTCAGTTCCTGCTGGCTCAGCCAGGCTGGCTGAGGCAATCTGGCCTGTCACTGCAACCTGCATGACTACTCTGGACTGATCACAGTGGCACTGTTTTTCTTTTCTCTCCAATTGTCAGGACTCAACCTAATGGGCTTCTCTTCTGTTGCTTAAGCTTTTTATTTCCCAACACAAAAGAGAGAAAATGTATAAATAAATAAAATTAAATACAGAATTTGTATTTGATGTTCCTCTTCAAATGATTAAGTTTGGATCATTTCAAAACAAGTAAGTTGGATTTTTAACGAATCTTCCTCCTTCAGACCAGACGGAGTATTTCTTTGTTAACTAAGCAAACATTTCGTTTCTCTGAACGTAGTGTTACTGCTGTTTCCTCTGGATTTTTGCATTATATCATAATGACTTGATTATAAAACTGAAGGCATCAATTTTTCTTTTTATCATTTTTCTTGTTAGCTTTAACTAGGAAAAGATATCAGTACCTCTCATTTCATAATCCCAGTCACACAGACTTACACCTCTGTTTTCTCTTTCTCTCTCTCTCTCTCTCTCTCTCTCTCCCCCCCACCCCCCACTCTTTGCTGTCCAGCACATGCCTGGCAAGGGTAGGAGCTCTGTCAGCATTTGAATTGAATGAGGG